CTTTCCATATTTAAAACATTTTTTGAAACAGTTATCCAACGCTGCAACTATTATTTCGAACACAGCTGTGTTCCGTTTACCGGCAAGATTCTATTTTCTTGACAGGCTGCGTGGTCGAAGGTCAAGAAAGGAGTCTCGAGGTCCTTTGATATGTCCTATTGCAACCTGCGATGTCAAGTGCAGCGATTGCGATGACCTTGAATCCCTGGCAAATGTCAAGGGCAATTTCCCTTCGATTCTCGGGAATCGCCATGGGATCGCAGGATTTATTTTCGTCTTTGATTGGGAGCTTTAAAGCCCCGTGTGTTTAGTGTGGGTTGTATCATTGGCTACAATAATAAACGTCTCCTTGGTACAAATACCTGGGCATGGTGAAAGCTTGATTTTGGTGAAAGTTTGCTTTTTATAATGGTGAAAGTTTTAGTACAAAGCAACTTTTTTCAAGCTTATATAAGCTTTTATATTGTTTTTCTATCTAAGCTTTTTTGAATATTTTACATACTTGTTAGGAAATTATATCCAAAATACGAATTTTGATTTTCGCGGCAAAGTTGTGAAAGCATTTTTTATAATCGTTTTTTTACAATTGATTACTGATTTAAGTTTGCGTTTTTTTACGATTGACTTATAATCTAAATATTACATTAATTTATACTTAAAAGGTATTTCATATTTAACGTATACTTTAAACCTTAAAATATTTAAAAGGGCCCTTTGCTTATTGCTCTTAAATTTTCTAAATTTTCATATTAATTTGTTTAAAAAAAATATTTAAAAAAAAACGTATATTTGTTATATATTTTTAGGTAATGAACCTATAACTTTAGGCTAAAGGAAATAATAATAAAGGAATTTTGAGATTAATTTAAATAGAATAAAAATCTTTGAAATGAAATAAAGATTACAAACCCAGTAAACAATGATTAACTTACATTTACTTCTAAATTTAACAAAGTAATCGATTAAAAATGTTGTAGTTTTGTTTTATTTATTGCAAAAAAAATTACTCATTTTTTGTTTTGCCCAAAAACAAAGAATATTGAATCCTGTTCGTGTATTGATTAATTGAGGGTTATTTTGGGACGTCGAAGGCTCGAAGCCCCCACCCCAGATATAAATAATAATAAAACCGAACACCCAGCCGCCCACATTTAGCTGAAGTTCAATGACTAGCAACAACGGAGCTCCACTCGGGCGTGAATTATTGTGAGAGCACCCATCCCCATTCCAGTGTAAATCCCAATCCAGGAGCCGAACCCCCATAATGTCACAAAAGAGTTGGATAATGCATGCTTGGGGGTTAAAGGGCTTAGGGGTTAAGGGGTTGTGCGCGCAACAGTTGATTGCCATCGGGAAAGATTATGTAAATCGAATTGTCCAAGAAGAATTTGCCATCAAATGGGGCACACAATTATGGAAGCAATTAAAAGGGGCCAAATATATGCACATACATAAATGCAATCGGGTTCTGGGTTCTCTTGGCTCAATGCCAAGTCATTATTTATTTTCGAATCATTGCCTCCTAATTGACATAATTCGCACGGAAGTCATTGCAAAATTATACAAAATACAGCGTTCATTTTGGCGAAGGCTTCTTGTAAGCTATCTTAAAATAGCCATCTAGAAACAGACAAGTTTTGACCAAAATATTTAAGAATTTCAACAAAATAATCAATAAATTAGGAAGAAAATAAGAAGAACATTTTCTTTTTAACTTTATGAAAAGTAGTTTGTATTTGCCTGCATTTAATGACACTTTAAAGCGCAGCACTTCTGATCAAATTTTCTTTTGGATTCGCATAAAATGATTGAGTACGAGTCACCTCAAGGCTTTTCCTGTGATAAATTAATACACCATTTTCCACTCACTCGTACACACAAAATGCACACAGACATACCTATGGGCAGGCTTGTACACTTCAAGAAACCGATAAAAGCTCCCCGAAATGCTTAACTTTTTTTTAAAGAAAAATAACAATAGTTCTACAATTTTTCTTAAATTTAAATATTTTGTAGATTTAAAAGACTTTTTCAGAGTGAATAAATCATAAATAGGAAGTTAAAGTATATTTTTGCAGCTTGCTTTTTTGCTAATGTTGGCATTTTTAAACAATTTTAAAAATTTCATTCTTTTTAATATGTAATTGACCTTTCTTACCTTTTTATGAAATAAAAACTTATTTAAGTAATTTCTAAAAATCCTAAAATTTCAAGGATATTTTTCCATTGTCTTAACGGAGGAGGGAAATTTCCGTCGTGTACCCGTTGACTGCATTGTCAGCAAGTTCATTTCCGCTGTGGCCACACAAAATGGCGTGCAAAATGCAAAAACAATGGGCGCGAAAGAGAGGGCCAGCGTCGGCGGGAAAGAGAGGGCGTCAGGTGCTCTCGTTGATGGGCAACATTAACGCACGCGATGTGGATGTGAATGTGGATGTGAATGTGGTTCTATGGGATCTGTGGGATTGTCAGCATTCAGGGACTTTGGACAGCGACAATTGCATGTGTAATTTGTGTTTAGTGGGCTGGAAATAAAGTACCTGGGCCCCGCCCCCCGTTAAGTGGGTCGAACAAAAGAATTTCAGGTGAAACTCTGCATTCCGGGGCAGGAACGGCGAGCCATTCGCACATTAAAGCAGACAATATAAGGATCTCCGCCGGATTTCAGCCACTGAAAGCGCGATGTTTCGATAAAAGTTACTCTTTAAATATTCACGTTTGCTCTGATATCGTTTTTGCAACGCAGTAACGAAAAATAGCTTGAATTGTTAACTAAAAATGGGTAGGATTTTAAAATCGCTTATAAAGGCGTCTAATAGTATCCAACAATATATTTTTAATCAGGAAGAACTTATTTTTTACTGCATACTTTTAGACACCTTTATTGGTGATTTGAAAACTTAATTCCAAAACATGTTCTTTAAAGATATTTCCTTAATAGTTTTTTTTTCAGGATATTTCGTACCTCTAGAGATTTTTGTGTCAAGATTGCTATTGCATTTGTCTATTATTTATTAAAATAAAAAAAAAACAATTGTTAAAAAATTTAATTTTGTTAATGTCATCTCGAAATTTCTTGCCGAATTTTTTTTAGCAACCACAACTTCTTGGCTGTGGTTTTAGGGGTTTCTTGGTGTTTCCACAATGATTCGATTGGGGTTTCTGAGGTTTCTTGTTGTTTCCACTGGGCTTTTGTTTGGGTTTGGGCTTGCTTTTAGGTTCGGGTTTGCATTTAGGCACTGGCTTGCATTTGGGTTCAGGGTTACACTTCGGCTGAGAGTTAGGACACTTGGGTGGCAGAAGACTCTTGCATCCACACCCAGATCCACATCCCGACGGTGCTTGAGTTCCCGGATGATGATGAATTACTTTCTTGGTGTGTTTTGTGCGTTTTGTGCGTTTTACACGTTTGGTGGATCGCCTGGTGGTTTTCCCACAATGTGGTCGTGGTGGCTTAGTACATTCCTTAGGGGTGGTGCGAAGTGTGGTGCTTGCTGTGGTGGTGCTTCTTGTTCCGCAGGGATTCGTGGAAGCAGTTGGCGTTTGAGTGATGCAAACTGGAGGTTCTGTCGTTCTCACGGTTGGTTCAGGTGTGCAAACGGTTGGTTCGGGAGTGCAAACGGGTGGTTCAGTAGTGCAAACGGGTGGTTCTGGATTGCAAACGGGTTCTGGATCGCAATCGGGTTCTGGATCGCAAATGGGTTCTGGATCGCATGTCGATGCCGGGTTAAGTCCAACCAGCGCCACCAGCAAAATAATCAGCACGGCAAAGCGCATCTTCACTGTTCCGTTTACTGCCCAAAAATGCTCTTTATATACCCACTGCATTCCGACATTCCACTTCGCATTACAGTTGTAAGTGCACTCAAACAATTTTCTCACAGATGCGAAAGGTATCATAAATACTCGAGATATTAAATATTATAAATTATAGATATTATTAATGTCAAAACGTTCGAAAAGTAAGGCTCTTTACTTTTCAAACAACAAACTTGAATAATTTTAGGATTTTTTTGAGGGAGATATAAACAAATAAGACATGGAAAATGGCGTTTTTATGACCTTTACCACTGTGCATAAGAGTGAGTTCTTAAAAATATTTGTCAAAATATCAGGATGAACAAGTATATTTTGCAAGGAATTATTTATAATAATACAAAATTTTATCGAAGAAAATTCATATTTATTAAAGATTTTGTGTTCTTAAAAGTACCGTTGAAACGGTTTTTTTTCGAGTGTGGGGCAATGAGGGTGCTTCGTGCTGTTTGGTCTTCCACAAATATTTGCAGGATAGAAAGGTCTGTTTTCCATTTTTGGCCGACGGGTTGACTTAAACCAACTTAGCATGAACACCAACTTGAGTTTACTTAGCCGCAGCTGTTCGAGTCTTCCACGTCTTAATTGCCATATTGATCATGGTTTTGTTAAAGTTTTGTTGTCAGCTTCGAGTGGAAAAATTGCGTGTGCTATTTGTGTGTGCAAATCAAACGGTGTTTTATTATTTGCTTTTGGTTAATTTTGAATTGCCGCCTAAACATAAAATAAATAAATATTTTGTTGGCAGTAAAGCATGATTTTTTTTAAACGCTTAAAATGATTTAAAATAATTAATATTGAATTTAAAATAAGCTGAAAAGTGTGACCGTTCCTTCTTTGTATTAAATCCCTTTTAAGAGTGTGCCCGTATTTTTTTCTTTTTTTTAAATGTGTGCTGAAATAATTTATTACATAAGGAAATATTCTGTTCCAAAAGATCTCGCGACTTTGAGATTACTTTCTTCACCGATTTTATCAAATAAGCCTTATAATTTCATATATTTTGATCCAAATGCCGTCATCAGCTGGGACCAATCACCGGGTCTATTGTTCCCCAACGCTTTTGTCTTAACAGATTTTAATTTCGACTTCACTTTGGCCTTCGCTTGGGTAAATAAGATGGCGACAGGTGCGTTGACTATAAATTGCGGGAGAACCGTAGACGAGTCGTCAGAGATAGATAGAAGATAGTGCCGAAATGAAGTTGACAAAGCTAATGCTGACTTTCCTGTGCCTGGGCCTTTTCGTTGCCCTGGCCGTGAGTGCCGATACGGATTCGGATACGGATGTGGATTCGACCGCCGATTCCGATGAGGATAGCACGGCAACCACCCCGTCCGCAGGCAGCACAGCCACGGAGGCTAGCAGCTCCTCGGATAGTTCCAGTTCCTCGGACGACAGCAGTACTTCCGATGTGGATGACGGATCGTCTGACGATACCGATACCGATACCGATTCGGGATCCGATTCGGACGACGAGGAGAGCTCCGCCCCCGCAGCTCCCGTGACCAAGAAGAAGAAGGCCAACAAGAGCAGCAAGAAGCGGGCCAGCAACAACAGGAAGAAGGCCGCGAACAACAAGAAGAAGGCCAACAACAACCGGAAGAAGGCCAGCAACAACAATCGCAAGAAGAAGGCCTCGAACAACAACAGGAAGAAGGCGTCCGGCAACAGCAACCGGCGAAGGACCAACAACGCCAGGAGGCGTGGTTAAAAATCAACAATATCACGACTATATGCATAAATAAATACATTTTTTTTTTCATGATTTAATAATTGATTGGTGTATATTGGTGTGATTCGATGGCGCACAAAAAACATTGCATATTTTCCAAGGGGGTTGCAGGAAAAAATTCCCCTTTCGTTGGAATTAACCAAACAAAATTCAGCAATCTGCATGACCAATTCGCAATTCATGGTGGTACATGAAAAATTCCTGGGCAAAAATACACAATTTCGCATTGCAAAAAAAAAATCAACGAAGAGTGCTTAAAGAATCTGATTCAATTTTGAAGAGATGAAAGCCACGTAACAATGGGTGCTTTCTCTTGCGAGAAATATATTCTGTAAATATTATTTTATCTTCACTAGCACAAACATTTCCTCCACAAAAGCAGCTATGAAAATCGAAACAAATAGGTTTGTGCTGCCCAGAAGAATGAAGAGAACAAAGGCTTCAATTTAAAATCACAAAATAATAGGGACATGGCAGGAGGCTAGGCAACAACAACAACTATATATATTTTCCTAACAATATGTGCGAGGAAAATGGCTGTCAGAAAATCTCAACAGGTGTCGATGACTTATCGATGGCTGCCGGCTCTCCAGCTCTCCTAAAGCTTTCAAACCGCCCACAATCTGCTCAATTATCCAGGCTACATAAGTTATTCAGGCCCAACTGACACTGGCGCTCACACACACTTTCGTCCTGGAAAATCAACAGCTTTTCTCCGCTGGCCAACTTCCTGCGGTGACTCAAAGTTTCTGTCACTTTAACTTTTCTAATTCGATTAAGTCGACTAACTGCAAATTGATTTCATTGTAAGTCGCTAATTGGCCGCCTTCATTGGGCCAACTTTTAAGTTGGCGCAGCTCTGGTTTTCCAGCCCGTAGAGCAGTGGGGTTCGGTTTCCATGACGCATGGGTCACCACGTCGGGCCTGTGATACGTTAATTTACCAAACAGTTGTGCAAACATTGCCAAAAAGCGAAATAATTAGTGGAGCTTCGCTCTCTAAACTTGCCAAAATGCTATGTTTTATGGCGGCTTTCGCTCCAATTCGCCTTGTTGACGACGACCCACTTGAAGGCCGACTGTTTTGTTCTCCCCCGTTAATAAAAAGTTGCCACTTTAATGCGACTGATTAGGGGCTTCAAAGGGATTGGATTTTAGATTTTAGTGCAAAGTGCGTAGTAGTTTTGTGGCTTTATGTTTTATAATTATATTTAATTAAAATGGCTTTGGGGGCCATTCACAATATCGTGTATTGCGTATGTACATGAGGTCTTTAAAGCAAACGCGAACTCTTTAGTAACCTATCTCGTTTAAGTAAAGTATTTATCACTCATGCATACATTTGAAAATTCAATGCATTTCAGTTAAATTTTCTAATTGCCAAACATTAAAGTAAAAGTAATGTCATTTAAAATAAAACGCGAATTCTTTAGCAACATCTTCCGAATATGGAATGGCATAACTTGTTGAACTCGTAGCTTAATTCTGAATCGATTTGCGTTCAAATCTGGACATTTTATTTTTTTGCCATTTTTAGTTAAAAAAAATGCAAAAAGTGGTAAAAAAAATCAATTTTCCCAAAAGTGATGATAAAATTTCAGTTTTTTGGCCAAAACAAAAGAAATAATAGCCCAAATATGGAATGTCATACCTTGTTGAATTTGTAGTTTTAAGATTGCCAAACATTAAATTAAATTTTAAAGCCATTTAAAGAAAACGCGAGTTCTTAAGCAACCTATCTCAACTGAGTAAACTATGTGCAAATTCAATGAATTTCTTTAGTATAGTTTTTTTTTTTTGCGAGAATAAATACAAGTCTCCTAAGGGAAAACATAAATCAACTCACCGAACGTTGGCCAGCGTATGGCGACGATTCTTGAGGTACCGACTGTGGTACTTCTGCAGGTCGCCGATTGACCCCTGCTCCGCCTGCATTTTGCTGGTGGGCAGCAGCTGCGAGTTGCTGGGGTGCGAGGAGGCGAGGGCGGAGGCCGACGACGAGGTCAGCCGGTGGTGGGCGGCAACGCTGACGCTGCTGCTGTTCTGGGTGCTGTTCTGGGTGGCTGTGCCGCCGGTGGTGCTGCTGGAGGCCAAGGTCTCGTTCGAGTTGCTGCCGATGACAGTGGTGGCCGACGAGGAGCCGCCCGTCGATCCAATGGGCGCAAGGACGATGCGCGACCAGCAGGACTTGTGCGGCTTGCGGAACTTTAGTTTGATGCGCGGCGAGGGGGTCGAGGAGGTACCTGAGGTAAAATAGATGACAAAGATGGTTATAATTAAAACAAAGTATTTATTTTACTAGTTTTTACACGATTCAATGGGATAGCATTTGTAGTAGTAGTAGCATGATATAATAAAACGAAGATAAAGCAAGATATTACCATCGTTTTTCACATTTTTATAAATTGTTTAATTTTATAAAAAAATGTTTTTTATGTATATATTTAGATTTTAATTATTTAATCATATAATTAAATTGATATTAATAGATGAAAGGTTTTGAACTTGGGTTACAATTGTAAGCTATCGCACTAATTATAAGTTATCAACTTGTAGCGTTAGGAAAGCATTATAAAATAAATTGAAAATTTAAATTTATTCCTTTTAAAATGATGTTCTGATAGTGGAATAAAAAAAAATATAAACTAAATATCGATAATAATAATCTGCTCTTTATAAATTTACCAAATATTTATTCAAATGTAAGCCTACACTCATAAAAAAACGTATCTCCAATTGTAAATATTTTTCGCCATGTTTTTCAACCATTGCTTGGAACTTTAAAACTTGATATTATAATATAATTTTAACAATTATATTTAACTTAACAATTTTTTTAAATAAATTATTTTTTTTAACTATTTTAAAACATTGTATTTAATATATCCCACATTGACTTGATTTTTTTTATATTGCATTAAATAATATGTTTTGGTATTTAATAAATTTTTGATTTTGATAATAATTTCTATTTTATTCAGAGTTGCTTGTAGTAGATCTTAATTTTGATTAAATTGGTTAACATTAATATTATATAAAAAATAATATTTATTCTACTCTATTTATTAGTTAGATTTATTGTATTCTAATATTTACATGTATTTATACCACTAGTAAAATAGATATTAATTTAATCTCTGAATTACCTGCAATGTACTCCTGCGGCTGCTGACTACCAGTGGGCACTGTGCCCGCCGACGACGAGGTGGCCGACGAGTGGTGGACGCTCTCGCAGCTGCCACAGTAGCCGCTGGCTATGGTGATCGGCGGCGGCAGTTGCTGCTGCTGCTCCTTGAGGCTCGACTGGTGCTTGAAGTTGGCCTGCTGCTCGGACTCCTCCTCCTCCTTGATATGCGGCAGTGGGGAAGTCTGCGGCTGGCAGCTGCAGCGATTCTGCTGTTGATTCTGGTTGGGATTTTGGTTTGAGTTCGAATTGGGACTGGGATTGGCCTGCTGATTTTGGCCTGGATTCTGGCCGGGATTCGTGCCGCTGTACAGGGTGACCTGGCTGAGGATGTTGCCGCTGCTGGGCACCAAATTGGGTTGTGGCTGTGATGGCTGTGATTGCAAGAGTGGCTGCTGCTGCTGCTGCTGCTGCACCACCGCGGTGGGTGAGACGCTGGCGTCGCTCAGCGTTTCCGGTTCCGCTCGGCGGGCCACCAGACCGCTGGCCAAGCTGGCTGCCGCTATGTCCGCCGCACTCAGCTGCTGGTCCAGCTCCTCGTCCACGTCGTTGATGAGGGTCTTCAGGGAGATCGGTGTGGTGACCGATGTGTCGATGGTGTCCGCCAGCGAGTGCTTCTTCTGGCCGCCGCCGTACAGATCCAGCTCGGATTCGCTGCGATTCAGCAGATCCGAGTCCTCCTTCTGGTTGCTTTGCTTCTGCTTCTGCTTCTGCTCTCTGGGCTTTTCCGCACCACTAGCACCACCAGCACCGCTGCTCGTATCCTCCGGACCGCCAATGGCCTTGAAATCCTCCGGCGATTGGGCGGGTGTTTGGGGCGGACTTGTGGCGGGGGCTGCGGAGCCGCCCCCGCGACAAGGGAGGCAACACCGAAACACTGTGCCACCGAAGCACTTTGTTCTTGTCTTTGATTTCCGCTTGCCACTCCCACTTCCGCTGCCGCTGCCGCCGCCCTCGCTGCCGCTGCCACTCCCACTCCCGCCGCCCCCTCCAACGCCGCCACTGGCTGCCAGGCCGTTGGTGCCACCTAACCCCTGGCCGTTTCCGTTTCCGTTTCCGGTCCCGTTTCCGTTGCTGCTGCCGCTGCCGCGATGCTAGAGTAAAGAGTAAAGTAAAAGTATTCAAAATCAATCGGTTTTGTATTAGTTTTAAGAATTTTTCACATCCTTTCTTTGGTGATAAATCGGAAAAACATTGGGTTTGCCATAGATAGTATTTCCAGGGTTATAAATTCACTTTAACAATTGGCTAAATAGTCTTTAAAAATTATTGTTGCATACTTTTGTGCACTTGAAAGTAAATATTTATTCTTAAGATTCTTATGGCAAACCCTCTATGTTTTAAATTTTTTTTAATATTTATAAATTATCATATTTTAAACCCTATTCCCCCTCCACCTTGGCCGCATTTTTGTTAAACGAGAAACTCTGAGTGAATCGCGCCAAACGCATCATTCCCACTTCGAACGGAAGTTATCTGTGGTGCAAAAACATTTTAATTCTAGCGGAGATCTGAAATGAAAGTAAAGGAAAACAGGGTATTAGAGATCAGCAGATATATGGTTTTAAAGTAAAAATAAAATAAATAAATATAAATATTTTACATTAACTTATTAAAATCCTGCAGTTTAAATTCGTTTTTACTTAACATTCCTTGTCGAATTCCCCGACACACTTCTATGTCAATTAGCGTTTAAACTCGCATTTATACCCGGAAAACAGCCACTGCTTTCCCCCATTCCGCCTGAAAGTATTCCACCTGGTTGGTTGGTTGGCTGGCTGACTGTGCGGATGGAAGTGGGTTAGTCACATATTTGCCCACATTTGCGAGCTCTCGCAGGGACAGACGCCAGCTGCACAAACTGACCCACATCCTGACTGCCTGACTATATGGCTGCTGCATCTACTTTAGCTTCCCCTTAATTAGTACGTCGTCGGACATCGGAGGAACCGCTGTTATTCCGTGCGAACAAGATAATGGAATGGAAACTGCTGCTGATAGTCCTGCCCTGGCTTCTTATCGGCAAGGTCTTCTACAAGGTCGAGGACTTCACGGAGCCGGATGTCGCCTACCAAAGCCTGGACTACCATCCCGAGGACTACATCGACTCCTTCACCGATTACCAGAAGCACGACTACTTTCAGTACTAAATGCTTCTTTTTCGATTTTTTTTTCTCATTTTTGTTTTGTTATTGTGCCTTTAATAAAGCTGTGTAAAATTCGTTAATTAATTCTGTGAATACTTTATGGTTCTGTGAAACTGACCTTTGAATGACTGAAAAGCAACACAGATGAGGCCCTAAGTAATTTTGTACTGCTGAAAAAAAAACACTCAGTAAAATAACCAACATACATATGTACTTATGTAAGTACATTGGGGTGGTCCAAAAAATTAAATCAGATGCTCACTCCTTCACATTGTAGATTAAAGTAAGCTAAGTTTTCTTAAAAATTACACATACGACACGTATAACAGTTCGAATTTCATCAAAGGGAGAGCAAACATTTTTGATTGAAGGCAACAGTGCGTATGGGTGATAAACTATACATTTGTAAATATAAATAAAATAAAATAAAATAAAATTTTTTATGTTTTTATGGACAAATAATGCCTCGGAACCATCTGGATCTACGGACATAATGAATCATTAAACCGACTTTTGGTTTAGCACAGTTTTATATACATAGTTGTAGTATTTCTTGTCTGATAAGAATTCGCCTCCGATTAATACAATTCCATTTCGTTTTGGTTGGCCGCTAAATAAACATTTTTATTATTGTGATTTAAAGTATACAGCTTAAAACTTATGTACTATCTATTTATGTTTCATTATCTAATTGGCAAATAAAATTATATGAAGAGTTACAAGGGTTATCATACATCGCCGCGTTATCTAAAAGAACGCATGGACCGCCAACTGGCCGCTCACTTCACGACATGCACATCTAGCCTCATACCACGTTTTCCGAATATCATGTTCGATATAAAAATATCTAGAGCCTATTAGCTCAAATCTAGGATTGATGGTTTTGGCTTTGATTGTTGTATTGTTTTCAGTTGTACTTTGAAGCTCCCTGAGTTGGTTCTCTAATTTGGCCGGTTGAGAGGATTCTGCAACAGGCAAGTGACTTCGCCACAGATCCTTGAGACACCAGGATTATAAGCACCAGCGCAAAGAAATATGTCAGTCCTAGCATTTCGAATTTTTATAACTATTCAAAGAGAACTCTAAAAACGTACTGAATGTAATATGCTGCATTAAAAATAAAAACAACGAAAATATTGCCGATAAGGCATTTAGAAACCTAGAAAATTGCTGATAAGGATTCATTCACGTTTCCGTTAATAATTTTATATTTCTCGGTTATTCAATTCTGGTTTCCTGTGTAAAGTGGACACATAGGGGTTTTGGTCAAAAAACATGCACTTTTTCTGTTAGTGTATCTGGAGCTTGAACCAAGATAATAAATAGATTAATAAAATAAATCGATTTTCAATTCTCAGCAAAAATTAAAAAAAAAAATCTAAAATCCTTCGTCGTAAAAAATACCATACAAATAAAGACAAAATGGTGATTTTTATTTAAAATTTTATTTTTAAATATATATATAGGTTACAATTTACATTGCGTCTCCTTAGAATTCATTATCTGCTTGACAAATAAAAAAAGCCCGGAAACTACAAGAGTTCCTAATCATTCCCCATATGTCTAGTAAAACGCATGGGCCACTATTTGTTGGCTCTATTTCCCGCCACTTTAAAATGGTAGCAGGCTTCCCGGAGGCCGCAGATATGAGCTGGCCGTCTTCCTTTAAATCGTTGATGCCAGTCCAGTAAAAGTTAATAAACCCACTCTCAAGTTTCCCCATTACGGCTATGAGTTCCTCTTCGGTTTTGAAAGCCGCCAGAAAGCCGCCCATTTGATGGCATGTTTCCGCAGCCTCTAGCCAGGACTTACGATTATCGTGTCCGAAATAGAAATATCTAGAGCCAACTAGCTCAAACTTGGGATCGATGGTATTTGATTTGATTGTCGTTTGGGTTTCGAGAAGATGATTGTTTTCAGTTGTACTTTGAAACTCCTCAGGTTGGTTCTCTATTTTTGTCTCAGTCATCGGCAGTTGTCCCTCGGTTATGTTTAGATTCGTCTCAGAAGAAAGAGGCTCAGGGGCTATTTTCTGGTCCTCTAGCACTTTCTTTACCGCCAGAAGTTGGGCATCCATTTGGGATTGCATGGATGTCTGCTGATCTGTCATTTTGGTGAGGAGCAACTGAAGCTGATTCTTCATATCGGAACTTATCGCCATAAGTTTTTCTTCCATTCTGTTCAGTCTTTGCTGAATCGCCAGCATTTGGGAATCCGCGTTGGTTTGTACTGAAGCCTCCAACGTGGACTGAACTGCCTGGAGCTTCATCTGGATGGACTGCTGCTCGCCGTGGATCCTGTCCAACTTGGAATTGGTCTCGGGAATCAAATCCATCATTGGATGGAGCTTGCTGAGGCAGAAGTCTCCACATTGATTTTGTGGATCCTGCAGTAGGCTAGTGGACTTCTCTTTATCCTTTGATTGCACCACAGCTCCTTGAGCCACCAGGATAATAAGGAGCAGCGCAGAAAAATATGTCAGCCCTAGCATTTCGAATTTGTATAACTATTCAAAGAGAACTCTAGAAACGTACTAAATGTAACATGGTGATTTAAAAATACGGAACCCAAAATATTGCCGATAAGGCATTACAAATGATAAGGAGGCTTTATCCAAGTCAAGCGTTAAAATTATTTCGTATATTTGGGTATCCGGTTCAAAGATTAGAAATTACGACCAAGCAATTTTTTTACAATTATAAAATTCTGGAAAAAATACAAAAAATAGTTTTCTTCAAAATAAATAAATAAGTTGGAGATATTTAAAATTGCATCTATTCCTAATATGTTAACATCAAAACTTAGAAAATTTTAATAGTTTTATTTTGATAGCTGCTATAAATTTCAAAATCTCTGATCTGATCTCTCAGGAACCTTACCTTAAAAGGCATACAAATATGTGATGTCGTACCATTCAAAATCAAAATAAACAAAATCAATAATTAAATTTGCAAATAAAACTGATTGTATTTGCACGAATAAAAATTAATTTCGATGACTTATTTTCGTTTGAAAAAACAAATGGCTAAATGGTAAACAGTAATCAATAAATTGTTTAATAAGCTATTATTATTTAAACAGCCTTGTGGGAAAGGCCAAAACGGTTTAGACGGGAATATTTCCGTACAATGATTTTCAGGCCAGCTAAATTTATAACACGTCACAAAGCCAAAGCCTCTTTGAACAAGTGAAAGAGAAAGTTTGCGAATATTTTTGCATTAAAATAAAATTCACACAAAATAATCTTCAAATATTTAAACAATTGACAGAAAACCCATTTGCACTGTTCAAAACGGGATATTAATTTGACCTCGAAAAAGATTGGCAAATTTTTGCATTCGCGTATTTAATAAGCCCAAACATGAATGGTACAAAAACAAAGGTAAACAACTATTCGACTGAAGCTTATTACGTTGTTTTTATTTCAAGAGAATGAAATTGTTCAAGAGACTGAAATTGTTTAACAGAATGAAATAGTTCAAGAGAATGGAATCGAAAACGGCAAGCTAATTGAGCAGCTTTATGGAGCATACTTTTGCGATAAGAATGATTTAAAGGCATTTTATTTTACATTAATATTTATCATATATTTTTCTAAAATCCATGATCCATTTTGTTGGAATTTCAAAAATACAAAACTGTTTTGTTGGAATTTACTAAATTAATTGTACATTTTTATAAAAATCAGACAATTGGTTTAATTTAAATGTATTTATTCCAAAATTCATTATATTTCAGTATAAAGAGTAGAAAGGATTCCCTAAAAATACAGAAAGCCCAGAAGCTTTTTTTCCAGCAATAATTAATATAATTATTAGGGATCCCAATTTAAAATATTAAAATATTTAGTACCGTAAATTTGATAAGCTCTGCTCTCCAAAATGAAAATAGCTACTTGTTGTATGATTTTATATATTTGCCTTATAAACTAATGAAAACAATATTGATAGGCTTATGGACTATGAAAACAAAATTGGATCTAGGGTTGTCAGGGTTGAGTTAGCATCTGGATTGGCGTGGTTCGATTTCGCTTGATCTGGGATCCTTCAGTCCTTCAGTCGTCGGACCTGCGGCCCTTGCGGCCTTTGTCGTTGCGACCTCTAGCTCTCCTCCTGGTTATAATCTTCCTCCGAGGCCTGTTGCGCCTAGTTTTACTACGTCTTGTGCGCTTCTTACTTGTGCCAGATGCGACTAGTGATGATGATTCAGTGGTTGTCGTGGTGGAGTCCGAAGCGGCAGCGGTGGTGGTGGCGGCCGAGGCGGAGGTGGTTGCGGAGGCGGCAGTGGTGGTGGTGGCCGAGGCGGAGGTGGTGGTGGTGCTGGAGGCGCCCTCCGACTGGCGGATCATCGCACAGCCGAGGAAGGTGGCGAGGAGCACGAGGAGCGGGGTGATCTTCATGGCGAGGGATTGCTTCTGTGGGATGCCTTGCAACTGATGCTGTCTCGGAGATCGGAGATCGCTTTTATACTAGATCTCGCACCTGGGTTTATCCTCTTCTGCCAAACTGTGTCAGCAGCTTTTGGCCAAAACAAAGGGAGCGTTTTTGGCAAAAAACAAAAAGCCACAACTAAAAAGAATTGCCAATTGTTCAAACAGCCAACACGCTAGTGAAGTGCAAATATATAATTTAATTTTTAAGATAATGTGAGATTTGCCCATAGAAAAGAACGTAGATGGGACTTTGCAGATTTTGCAGAAATTATATAACTGTAAGATTTAGTATAAAAGACCATGGCTCTCTGGTTTCCATCATCAGTTTACCACCATCCAACGGTCATCCATATCCAAATCGAAATCCAAGATGCGGTACACCTGTGTCCTCCTGCTCCTGGCCAGCGTTGCCAGTGTGCTGATCGTGCAGACTGGCGGCGCCTCCACCACGGCCACCACCTCCGCCTCGGCGGCCACCACCTCGGCTGCGGCAGCTGCCACCACCGTGGCGGCCACGACGACCACGGCGGCCACCACCACCACGGCTGCCACCACCACGACGGCCGCCTCCTCCTCGAAGACCGCTTCGAAGAAGGTCAGACACGTCACCTGGAGGAGTGTTATTAGTCGGTCGAGGAGGAGGATACTCATCCATCGGTTCAGGCACAAGAAGGGCAGCAGCTCCTCCGACAGCAGCAGTAGCAGCAGCAGCAGCTCCACCGACAGCACTCGCACTCGCAGTCGCAGTCGCCGCCGCAGCAGCCGCAGCCTCAGCAGCAGCGGAAGCAGCAGCCGCAGCAGCCGTCGAAGAGCCCGTCGCGCCCGCCGGGCCTCCAACTAAAGGATCGATAGCCCAACCACTGACTCACATTCCGATTCTGATTATGATGACCACGAAATCCTTGTTTTTTTTTAATTCTTTCTTTTCAAAACCATTACGGCAAATACATAATATCGATATTAATTCAAGGGGTATTTTCATTAATCCACTGCACCCAAAAAAACACACCGAAATTGGGATTATCTAAAACAGGAGCCCTTAGAAATATTTTAGGCAAAAAGGATTATGAGGTTTATATATTTTTCAAAATTTACAGGTCAAAGATTTTGTTGCTTAAATTATAATTACTAAATTTTGCAAAAGCTGAAATAAGCTTCCAGCGTATGCAGCTTATTACAGTATTGTATACCTATACAACCTCCGACTTTCATATATACATATATAAACATAAAGCCTAAAACTCATTTCAATCAAAAAGGCAATGAAACGAAAAGTTTGAAACATAACAATGTCATGAACCACATTATTGTATGAAGAAATTATTTCAATCAGAAAAATGTAGTACTGGGCCTAATTTAAAGAAAACTACCTATTCCCAAAATAAATTGCTTTTATATAAAATCAATTTACTAAATAAAAAAAGTAGTTTTAAACTTACAAAAGAAACGCAATTAACTCGGAATTTCTTAAATTCAGGTCGAACACTTTTTTAGTGTAGAGATGTGAATTCCCATGCAAAATATGGATTTAAACAGACAGAAAATTTAAAAATACCCCTCAACGAAAACTTGACCCATAGCATTTTGCTTTTTGAAGTTATATATATATATATACTTGTAAACTTGAAATTCGTATGCATAATTTTGATCAATTGTGTTATACATTTTTATATGAGCAATTTATACAATTTTAAGTATTCATAAAGAGGTGACCCAAAAATATGACTTTTGAAGCTTAATGTCAATTTCAATTTCCATGGCGCTGAAATGAAACATTTTAATGTTTATCTTTGATTTTTAAGCTATAATTAGAATTCCTCTCATTTTAAAATGAGAGACTTTTAATAGTAATAAAAAACATTTTCTTTTAGCTTTGAGACTTTCTTTTTTACACTTTTTCATATATGTCCATATGTAACCTATTGAACAGTTTTCAAAAAGGCTTGCAGAAAGGTGACCCAAATATTATATTACAGATTTTTATTAATATATATGATTTATAGATATTATTTTAGATATAGAGATTTTGTAAAATACGATTTAAAGTTTTTCGATTTCATATTATAAAAATATTATAAATATTATATTACTTTTCGACCTTTTATAATGGCTTTCACAAATCATTATAAAAAAACATATTTTAACATCTTTTTTAATTTATTATGTTTTTATTATTGCTAAATATTTTTCAATACAAAGCACAACATTTTTATAGAAACGTACAAAAATATATTAGTTTAACAGGTTATTGAGTTTGGGTATTTGCAGAACTCACACATGAGAGCTACACAAATGGAGGTAAACAACTTATGGAAGACACTTTTTAATTGGCTGCTATTTTTGCCCATATTTATTCAAGAGAATTCTCTTTACACACCACTTGTAGTATACTTTTAAGAGAATTTTGTTTTAAGAACTATAAATTATCCAGATTTTATAATACTATTATATATTATTTATAATTAACTATTATAACTTTTAGTTGAAATACAACAATTAACAGACATAGGATTTCGATGACAGAAGAGTCAATTAGCAAGTGGTGGTCAAGTGATGCCCATCAATAAAAATAAAGACCATTTATTATCTCTGATACACGTTTCTGTAAAATATATCCAAATCAATTACATATGCAAAAATATCTCATTTATTTATGCAGACACTATAATATGATAAAGAACCAAAAGAATATCCCATTTGTAGACGGCACTATTTTGGATGTTTAAACAATTGTGCAAATGCAAAATGTTGCGAATTCTTGTTTGGCGAAAAGCGTTTTCTTTGCTTTGGCTGACACAGTTTGGCAGAAGAGGATAAACCCAGGTGCGAGATCTAGTATAAAAGCGATCTCCGATATCCGAGACAGCATCAGTTGCAAGGCATCCCACAAAAGCAATCCCTCGCCATGAAGATCACCCCGCTCCTCGTGCTCCTCGCCACCTTCCTCGGCTGTGCGATGATCCGCCAGTCGGAGGGCGCCTCCAGCACCACCACCACCTCCGCCTCGGCCACCACCACCACTGCCGCCTCCGCAACCACCTCCGCCTCGGCCGCCACCACCACCACTGCCGCTTCGGACTCCACCACGACAACCACTGAATCATCATCACTAGTCGCATCTGGCACAAAAAAGCAGGTCATAAGACATGAAAAACGTAAGCGCCATAGGCCCAGAAAGATCAGGCGAACTAAAAGGAGGGGATACGGCGGAAGTCGCAACGGTAAAGGACGCAAGGGGCGCAAGGGCCGCAGGTCCGACGACTGAAGGACTGAAGGATCCCAGATCAAGCGAAATCGAACCACGCCAATCCAGATGCTAACTCAACCCTGACAATCCTAGATCCAATTTTGTTTTCATAGCCCATAAGGGTATCAATATAGTTTTCATTAGTTTATAAGGCAAATATTAAAAATCATACAAAAACTTACTTATTTTAATTTCGGGGAGACTAGATTCAACTAGTAGTTATCACTTCTTTAATTTCAATGGCAGATTGAGTGTCTTATGTACCGCCTATCTAGTCAAACAATTGAACGCTTTGCTTTGGGTGCCTTAAATTAAAATTTGAACATAATCTGGAAAAATCCCTTTAAAATCCCTTTGTGGGAACACCCTATAAAGCCCCCTGACCACGGCGTAATATTCTTATGTACATGCTTAGAAATTCACTGTACGTCAAGAATAATTTTTTCTCTATAAACTAGAGACCGTAAACTAGATTATTTCACAAAAAATGTCGTGGCTCTGGTTTCAATTAAAAATGCGAAGTAGGAAATCTAAAAAAATAACTGACTGTATTTTGCTTAGCTTTTTTTAGGTCAAGTTTGAATACATTACATTTGAAATAACCCAAGAATTTTGTATTGCGAAGTACCCAAAGAGAATTGTGGGCACGCGGGTCACATTTGTTTTTGTGAAGTCATTGGGCACACTTCGATTCTTCTGTGTGTCACTGTCCGTACTACAGGCAAGCCAAGAACAATTCCATTGATTAATACCCGTTACTCGTAGAGTAGAGTAAAAGGGTATCTTTATTTCGGCCGAACGGCACGCCCCCTCTAAAGCCCAGAATCGCCCACACCTCAAAGATTTCCGAGAAGTATAAATTTGTGTATATTTATACCTATCGCAATGTAGAAGACATTTTTTAAATCATTCAAAAGTTATACGCAATCAAAATGTTATATATCCATCTCCCTCGCACTCCCTTTAGCTGAGTGACGGGTATTAGATAGTCGGGACACCAACTCGACTTTAACGTTCTCTCTTGTTTCTCCTCGCTTATCCAAATGCAAATTTTTTGTCTTTTTCATGAGTGTGTTTATCGTTGCTTGCGTGCGTATGATTTTCTTTAAGTTGTGTTTGTAAATGATCTGTCTTTAGGCAGTTTTGAGCACCCAGATCTAGAGATATAACTTATCCGTAATATTTCAGTCACTCAATTATTGAAATCAAAGAAGTTATCACTGGATAATTAAAATAAGTAAGTTTTTGTATGATTTTTAATATTTGCCTTATAAACTAATGAAAACTATATTGATACCCTTATGGGCTATGAAAACAAAATTGGATCTAGGATTGTCAGGGTTGAGTTAGCATCTGGATTGGCGTGGTTCGATTTCGCTTGATCTGGGATCCTTCAGTCCTTCAGTCGTCGGACCTGCGGCCCTTGCGCCCCTTGCGTCCTTTACCGTTGCGACTTCCGCCGTATCCCCTCCTTTTAGTTCGCCTGATCTTTCTGGGCCTATGGCGCTTACGTTTTTCATGTCTTATGACCTGCTTTTTTGTGCCAGATGCGACTAGTGATGATGATTCAGTGGTTGTCGTGGTGGAGTCCGAAGCGGCAGTGGTGGTGGTGGCGGCCGAGGCGGAGGTGGTTGCGGAGGCGGCAGTGGTGGTGGTGGCCGAGGCGGAGGTGGTGGTGGTGCTGGAGGCGCCCTCCGACTGGCGGATCATAGCACAGCCGAGGAAGGTGGCGAGGAGCACGAGGAGCGGGGTGATCTTCATGGCGAGGGATTGCTTCTGTGGGAAGCCTTGCAACTGATGCTGTCTCGGAGATCGGAGATCGCTTTTATACTAGATCTCGCACTTGGGTTTATCCTCTTCTGCCAAACTGTGTCAGCCAAAGCAAAGAAAACGCTTTTCGCCAAACAAGAATTCGCAACATTTTGCATTTGCACAATTGTTTAAACATTCAAAATAGTGAAGCTCTTATACATCATTTTATGTTTTAAATAGCTGAGTTGGTATTATATAAAAAAATTAAAAATTATTATTCACAAAATCTATTTAACCAAAGCATTTAAATCTAAATAATATTAGAAATAAATAATCTCAATCGCATGTTTTATTTTTGAAGTGAAGATGGTAAGATATGAAGAAATGCCGTTTTTGTCGTGATCAAAGGACCCAAATAAACATCTTCATATCAATGCGAAATCAGACATCCTTATTCATAAGTCATTCAAAGTGCAGAAGAGCATTAAATATTTATTCGTCAAGGATTTTTGGGCCTCCAAAGTTGCGTTTCCATTGAAATCCATTAGCACAAAACCGAACTCGGGGAAACCCGCAAAAGCCCCAAAAGGAAAATTTTGCAAGCGGCAAAATGCTCGTGAGCAAAAACTTTTCATCCCCAAAAAAGCGGATGGGGGAAATTCGAAAAGCTGTTGCCATAGATACCGCACACTCACACACATATGTGTAAGGGAAAATATTAAAAGGAAAAATATAACAAAAAAAGACCGAGGAATGAAAACTGAAAACCGAAAACAACAGCCACGATTTCCATAACAAAAGAGGCGTCAGGTGGAGCCCAGAAAATTTGGAGCACGAAAACCACTGAGCAAACAGGCAGATACAACTCCACTCGAGTGAAACTCTTGTGTGTTGCCATTGCGCAATTACCCAGCGGGAATGTGAGAAGTTGGTTTTTGTGTTCTTGAAATCCTGTTCCTTTTTGCAGGCGGCGGTGTAGGGATAGATAATTTCTGAGCGCTAAATGAGGGTGGGTTTCTGAGTAGCATCAATATCGGGCCATTTATGCGCTGTGTGATTTCTGTGGCACTACGATTATAATATTTTTAAACAAGAAAATCACCAACTTATAATATTCAAAAATCCTATGATTTACACCAAAACCAAAAGACTTGTTCTCACATTTAGTTTTAATTTTTAGTAATTTTAAAAGTCGTAGAAAAAATATTAATAATTGTTAATCAAAAAAATTAAACTATATAACATTATTATCATAATGTCTATAATGATAATATTAATTTATTTTACTCAACATTTTTCAAATAATAATAAGGATGAATGTGGGATTCAACCAAATTATAGAGAAAAGCCACGGTAAGACGATTAAAATATTTGATCACATTTATCAAGGAATTACATTAAATTACAAAGAAAACTATTGTTGCTTTTTACATTTTTAAACATTTTCTGTGAAATAAAATAATTTGATCGTCAGATCGTGGCCTAAGCCATTTTTAAGTGTTGTTAAAATATAAAAATTCGTGTTGGTGGTATTGATAACACGAAAAATGCCTAACATACCAATAATATACGTAACCTTTAATGATTACGGTCCCTGAAAAGTATTTTTTAAACGAAATACTTATTTGGCGCCAAAGTGTGACCGGACTTTACAACGAAATTTTTATCAAATCTGCATTTAGTATTATCAAGTATATGATGCAGGGTCACATCATTTTTAAATTTGTTGGAAAAAGTGAAAAAAAAGTGAAAATAGTTAATTTTAATCTAAAAAACAATAAAAAGGTGAGTGATAAAATGAATTTTGTCTTTTTATAACCTTTATTTCAGCGTTACAAAGGTTAGTATCACAGTTATTTTCCCCATTAATAAATATACGCCTCCGGATGCTATCTTCAACACAAATTCTGCATTTCAGTGACACTTGAAATGTTTTTAATCTTTACCAGTGGTAAATGGTGTGAGGTGTTCATTAAATGGTTGTATAAATAGTACTTCAGTACTAACTTAGTTGTTTAACTTAATCAAAATATTACATTTATTTCAGCCAGGCCGACTGAGACTTCTTGGGACCAGAAGTGTTGCGCCTGCGCTTGTCATATTTTATTTTTTCTTCTCATAGTTTTTGGTATAGATACCCGACATAAAACAACTGAACAGAGGGTAAATGATCGGCCATGGCAAACCAGGCATAATTTCTGGAGAGATCCTTTAATTTTGTGCGGAGACCTAATAATGGTAATTACTCTTATTATTATTCCTGGTCTTACATTCATATCTAAATTATGTTTGATATTTTCAGAAGACAGACAAGAAATGGATATCTAAGTACTGCATTCGGCCAAGCAAAACCCGGGAATGCTTCAGGCATTAAAAATTTGTAGTTCTAATGCTTCGATTGTAAATATTATTAATAAATACACAAACAAATATTACAAAAAACATGATTTTTATTGTGGAAAATCAGATACTGCAAAGCAGTGCAAAACCAAAACTGCGAGGGTCTGGAAAAACCAAAACTGGGAGGGTGTAGAAAAGCAGATATTGCAAGTGGAGGAAAACCATAACTGGGTACGTGTGGAAAATCTATAATGCGGGAAGTCGAAAAACCAGTGGATTTTGTCCTGCATTCTTCTGCCAGAGATCCAGATAGAAACCTCATTTCCCCCTTACTTTTTGTGTCACCCCCGTGTATTTTGAAACCAGAGATGGAAGAAATGTAAGGGGTGAATGAGGTTTAGTCCCTTCCGCTTCTATGGAGAAACCTCTTGAAAATATGTTATTTTCCAGAGGAATTTTCCCGGTGGGTAATTATTGTCTCCATAATAAAGCATAGTTTTTCGGAGTGGCAGTAAAGAAGCCGTCAGATATGCAAGAAAAAAGGGTGAATTCTTTTGGCCTCCATTGTAAAATACTTTAAGAACTTCCGACAAAATTAACAGCAGCATTTTTGGCAGATCTTATGGAGTATTTGCTAGGATGCAAAGTAGGGATATAATAATACTACTTAAACATATACTTTTACATATCATTTAAATTCGAAGAAAAGTTTAGAAACATATTTCAGTTCGACTTGCATTTTAATTATTATTTTAACTAAATAACTAATTTTTTAAATCGGATCACTCATTAAAAAGCTATGAATTAAAAAAAGCATTTCTGGTAGATGGCGCCACTTCAAGCAACTGCTTGCTTACCTGCTTGCTTATCTCTAGAACACTTATTTAGCTGAGGAAGCTGAGTAAATCCTAACGCTAGGATTATTTATTTAAATAATTATCCTATGATTTTCTTCTAGACCTCTCTTAGAATAAAATACTGCTCCAATAAAAGATAATTTTAAGCGATAACACCCATACTTCAATTGGAGCAAATCGGAAGCCATGTCCTCAAAATATTGCCTTGCAAACGAGCTCTTCTGCTACACAATCCGCCTGATGGAGCCATAAAGCAGGATGTACGTATATTTGTTATTGATTTTTATTGAGACATTTGCAAAATTAATGTCTATGATGCGGGAGGATGTTTTTGCCACCCGGGAAAGGGAAACTCCCTCGCCTCGACTTGTCGAATGATGAGCGGCATTAATAAATCAATAGCGTTTTGATGGCAAATAATTCGAGATCTGCTCCGGGGATGCAGCCACACGCGCATTGGGGCATCCAGGATGGCCCACATCCTGCGTATCCTTTTGGCACATCCTCCGAATTCCCCACCGACCTTCACTTGTGGGTTTCACTGTGTGTCTGTGTGTGTGTTTGGGCCTTGATAAGCGACTTCCAATGGCCAAGGGCAGATCACTTGGAGAAAGTTTGGGTAGTAAGAAAGCCACCTGCCGTTGAAATTAATCGTGCACGAAAATTAGGAATCCTTTTTTTTTAAATTAACTATTAAAAATGTAAGAACAAAAATCAGTTTATCTTAAATATACAAAGTTATAAAATAATTCAAGTTCAAAGGTCTGAAACTTTATTTTGTGTATAATTTATTATTTATAGTAAATTATAATAATTTTTTCATAAAATGTATATAAATGGATTTTATTAAAAAGGTAGTCAGTTTTATAAATTTTAATAGAAAAAAATGTATTAAAAATTATAATATAATTCAAATTCATAGCACTTAAACTTCATTTTGTGTATTATTTATTTACTATTGTACATTAGAATGTATATAAATCGAAACATAAATAAATTAATTTTAAAAATAATATTTATATGTAAATGAATAAAATTCAATTCTTAAAGTGTGCTTCATGCTGCATCCAAAGTTGACTCTGCAAACTCGTGTCGAGTTATTTTATTGATTGATGCGAGCAAATCCAGTTGCTGTTGCTCTGGCCAAAAAAAGGGGGAAAAAAAATAATAATAAAAGGAAAACAACCAACAAGCGAATGCCATTAATTTTGCTGGGAAGTCCCTCAGAATGGATCAAAATGGAAACACTGACTTGTTGTGGACGCAACTCCGTGACACAAAGGTCGATATGTGAATGATGGAGTGGGACATCGGCATCACTGACCTGCTTTCCAAAAGGAAAACCCTCCTGTCCTGAGCCCACTGAATTAATGAACACAGATCCGAGCCAAAGTCAGGGATTTACCTCGAATTGAAATGATTGTTTTTTCAATTAAAATTTGCACTACAACTCGATCGAAACAATTTGCATTTCAATTCGATTATTGTATTATTTTGTTGTAATATTTAGTTAGTTATCAGCATTTATTAAAAAATATTATTTGTGAGATAAATCACTATTAGTTAATTTTAAGTGATTGCTTTTTCAATTAAAAATTGCACTACAACTCGATTGGTTAAATTGTAGATTAATTCCTTTATTGTATTATTTTTTTTTGTGAAATTTTAATTTAATCATCAAAATTAGTTATATGAAGTTCATTCAAAGAAAGCACCATAGTTATCCATAGGGGTAAAAATATACTACATATAGCATAAAAGTGTGGTATTCACTTAATAGTAAATAATATAAAGTCTTCATACCAAATGTTATGAAGTTTATATATTGTAGTTTTAATTGTATACCGAATACTTTAATTTCATACTTTTGAATCTCATATTTTTTTATGAAAACAATAGATTTGCTTCTGTGGCTATTTTTTTTGGTTAAAGTAAGAAAAAGGTACCTAGTAATTCTATTTTTTTACAGTTTGAGGTGTATTTTTCTTGTCTCACCTAGTTACTTGAGATTATTATATTAATATTTATTTATTTAAAGTGATTGCTTTTTCAATTAAAACATTTACCAACCACTCTCTTGGTTTTATTACATTTTGGTTCGTTTGTTGTACTATTTTTTTTAGTTTTTAGTTAGTTTTAAACATTTATTTTTATAAATAATAAAATCAGGATAAAAAGGACGTTAAGAAATTAAATTTTTGAGAAATTTAGGTGGTTTTTAAATGAACAATTCCTTAAAATACTGGCTACTCTTTAGTGAGCATTGCTCTCCATGTACTTGTTCTCCCTAGTTTGGGCTTTGGGCCCGTTTTTTTGGGCCAATTAAATACGCAAATACGAGAGTTGGAAGTCCCAGTCGGATGTGGGGGAAGTGCGACACGTGGACACCCATGTGGTGGGGGCGTTATTTCGATTTCGATTTATCCAGGCGGCGCCATTTGGCCATTTCACTTGGTTTTCAGGCCGTCAGAGAAATCTGAGACCGCCTGTGGATTCCCGCTGTTACTTTGCGCCTAATGAGCAGTTTAATTATGCACGTTGATTGATTGATTCTAATTGATGGAAAGCCAGCAAACTCAGCCGCAGCAACCACAGCTCATGATTGAGCCGTCCAAAGTTTTCGGCCATCGGTTTAAGTTAAACTTAAAGCTAAAGTTAAGTTAAGTCCTGCAAAAATATCGCTACATTTTGCGCTTCCGTTTCGCTGCAGTTTCGCAAGGAACAATTACTAAAAGCGCATAAATTTGCACAAAAAATATGCAACGAGGATGGAGCCGTTAAGAGCTGCAGCTGAATATTTAAATATTTACTTCAGAGTGATTTACAAGTCTGGGCAAAAATGGCGAGTTTACCAACTGAATTATTCACATCAAGTTGAATGTGTTGGATTATTTTTGTGTTTAACAACGTGATGGAGTTATTAACAACCCAAGTTTTAAAATCAATACAACAAATATTTAAATCGAAATAAATAGAACTGATTTTTCCAAGTGAAAAATTATATATTTCGTTTCCTTTTAGCAAATTCTACACAAATAATTTCGGAGAAGAAAGAATTCCCAGACAATTGTATAACATATGTGGCACTTCAAAACCGTTTCATTCTTCCCAAAAAACAATGTCTCTTTCTTTTCTAAGCAAAGTTCATGTTCAATGCCGGGCTACAAGTATTTTTAGTTAGTATCTAGTTATTATTGAAAATCGGTCTACAAATCGGCAGATGTTCTCCTGCTTAGCGATATCATTTGATCAATGAAATGTGATACAAAAAAATCGCTGAATGAAGATTCCCCGTAAAACAGCAGTAGTAAATAGAAAAATGCGAAAAAATACGCTGGCGCGTGTTTGCCCAATAAAATTGGGAGTTTTTGCTAGGTAAACACTAGGCATTTGTGCAAATATTTCTTAGGTAGCGAACCGCAAAAAAAACTGGATTTGTTCTAGCGTACAGATGTTGTATTGTGACCATTGTTAGGTCTCAATGACGCAGAGAGCCGCACAGGCGGCCTATAAATAGGGTAAGCGGAGGCTGGAAAAGATCATCCAGTCACTCGCATCCAGTCTCTGAACCCACGAGATGAAGCTCCACTGGCTGCTTTTGGCAGTCGTCCTAGTCTGCGCCGTCAACCACAGCCACACCACCTCCACAGGTTCCACCACCAGCACGGAGGCCTCCTCCTCCTCCTCCGATTCGACCACATCCACCGAGTCCTCCACCTCCACCACCGCCGCCTCCTCCTCGTCCTCCGATACCACCGAGGCCAGCACCAGCAGCGACTCGGCCACCAGTTCCAGCTCCAGCTCCAGTTCCAGTTCCACTTCCAGCACCACTAGCAAGAAGAAGTCCGCCGCCGCCAAGAGGAAGGCCCGTGCCGCCAGGAGGCGTGCCGCCAGGAAGCGCAGGGCCCGTGCCGCCAGGAGGCGTGCCGCCAAGCGCAGGCGCAACAGGGGTTAAACTGGCTGCCCACCGGATGGCTAGGGATCGAATCCAATTCAATCCAATCCAGCCAAGACAGGACTAAACTTTTTTTTTTCCCTCTCCCTCACTGGATCCACGGATCTGACTAATAAATATGGTATAAAATTGCATAACAAAAACATTCAAGAGTGTTTCAAGTTGAAAGTCGGGGGGAACATTATCAGAAAAATAATATAAATAATATTAAAATAATGGGTAAATTCTCTCCATAATTAATGCAATTGAAAAACTAAACATTTTTTTCAGAATGTTTTTTTGAAAAATTACTTATACGACAATTAGACCGTTGGTACTTATGTATGTCTAAATATCCAACCAAAAATCGTTCTAAATTTTCTAACCTTGTTAAATTACAAATTTCGGTGGAATAATTGCTTTAAATTAGTGAGAGTAAGCAAGTGTATGGGTAAAATCTATGCCACCTAGCTTTAAATAAATTTTTGAACAATGGCAACAGTGCGGATGAGTGATAAACTTTAGAGTCAATGCGTAGACCAAAAAATTAAAAAAAGAAGGCAATTTAGAAAAATGTATTTTATTTTTTAAAATTTCATTTTTAACGTTGAAATTACAACATTATTTTACATTTTTTTGCAATAATTTATATGAGGCCAGAATAAAAATATTTTTGTGTGAAAAGTCGGGGCCTTTTATTAATTGTGTAAAGTCTTTTTATCATAATATAGTTAATTGGATTCCCTCAGATATTAAATAGAATAAAAATAAAATACTTTTAATATCTAAAGCACAACCACACAAAGTGCTCTTGAAAACAAACGGGAAAATGAAAATGGAGCAGGAGGGCATCTGGAATTTAACGGGGCCTTTGGAGTGCAACGAATCGGTTAGCCTGATTACTTCTGTTGCTGCTCCAAGGGTGAAAGGTTAAAGTTACGCCCAGAAATGTACTCATACGCGTGCTCACATACAAAGTCTGCAATAAAAAGCAACAAGTTGAAAGACCACGCAAGCAAAAAGCAAAAGCCATCAAGGTCCCCATTCCAAGTCCATTCCCATTCGCAATTCTCATTCCCATTCCCGTTCCCAATCCGAATCGGAGACCTCGACCACCGAAACCCATCAGCAATTCGAGCGCATAAAAATGGTTATAACCCCAGAATGGTGGTATAAATTTTCCTACACAACGAAGTCAAGAATACTCTTGAGAACCGAAATAAATGGAACTTACAGCATTTTTAAGCCCTATTATAATTTAGGATATTAAACAATATTACCTTTTTTTTTTTAATATTTTCAAATAATTTTAGAACTATTCACATTTTTGTAGCACCCACAAATAAAACTCTTCAAATTTCAAAATTTAAAGCATATTTTCAGGAACCTTTAAAATTGTTTTCGAACCCCTTGATTTATATAATTCTCATATATCCTTGGGAAAGGAAAGTGTGTGAATATGGAAAACAATAACAAGCAGCAAACGCAGTACAATGGGCACAACTGTTGCTGTTCTTGTTCTTTCCTCCCTTCTCCTTCCTATTCTACGCTTTCTTCTCCCCCGTCTTCGTCCCACTCACATAAACAACAAACAAATTGAAGGAAGAGGGACAAGCAGATAGCGGGAGTGAGAGAAAAGGGAAGGGAAGAGAAAGCGTGAAAGTGACATTCGTCTTCAGACAAGGCAAACGGCATTAGAAAGAGACGGAAACGGAGCGGAAGAAGAAGACTCAGCACAACAAAGAGCATACTCACACTCATGTGTGTGCGAGCGAGAGGGGGCGAGAGACCGTGGAAGTGAATCACAAATACAGGGTAAACATTTCATAAAATATGTATCACTTTACTTTATAACTATGTATCTAAATAATTTGTTACTTTCTAGAAATTGTTGCAAATATTTTTTTTTGTTCTACACAGTTTTAAAGCATTTTACCCAGAAAGCTAAGGAACCCAAGGACTTCAATGTCTTACTTGCATTCCATCGACATCCTGTCCATTTCCCCAAGGACACCCTGTACTTATGTATATTGATATGCTGCGCTTTGTGGCCATTGATGTTGATATGCTCGACGTGACTTATATTATATGTACGCACATGCATGCGAATAATACGAATAAATGTTTCTCGCCCATAAACCACCCACCAGAAAGAGAGGGCTATAGTGGGTGGGCGAAAGAGAGGGGCATACAATTACGCCTTGTTTGTTCTTGTCAGTCTTTCTGTGTATTTTTTTATGTTTTTCCCGTGGTTTGTGCTGTGCTCTTATTATTGTTATTGCAACAACGCCCAATTCTTTGGAAATTTCAGCTTACTGCTTATTATTTTGCAAATACTTGAGGCCATCAGAGCGCGCCCACGAGAAATTTGAAAACACTATAAGCTCCTTGGATATGTTGGGTAATTTTTATATTCTTCAGTTCTCTGTTTTTTCACCGTACTTTTGTCTCTTTTTTTTAGGGGAGCCACACAATGGTTGCCAGCTGTGAGGCTTAAAATTGAGAGTTGACGAGTGACAAGTGTCTTAGTGGGGAAAAAAAGTGAAGAAGGGGGGCTTAAATCAACAAGTGTGTGGATGGGACAGATAATGCCAAAGCCAACTGAATACTTCAGCAGTTCTTTCTTTATCAAAATTCCTGGAATGTAGGTTGATCATACGTTTTAAATTTTTAAGGGTGATGTTATTTGAGCTCAATTCATTTGAAAAAGCTTCAAAAAATCAATTATTAAGGTGTCCAAAAGTATGCAATAAAATATTTAAAAAGTCCATTCACTTAATAACTTCCTTTATTTGTGATTTCAAAACGCAAATGTTAAAATATATTTATTTATCAATATTTAGCGAAATCTGACCTTCCTAGTATAAATAAACTAATTTCTCTGTAATTTCCCTTGGCCCCAATCAAGTGAAATTAAGTCAAGCTCAAGAACATTTGCAACGGCAAACCGACTTAAGTCCAGTTTTGTCAAGTTTAGTTACACTTGAGGCTGCTTAAAGTCGGCCAATAAAAGGTCCTACGAGAAACAATTAGTTTAGCTTGGCCCGACTCCCTCGTCCTTTTGGCCAAATTGCCTCGCCTAATTTGGTTTTTTCTCCGACTCGCCTTCCGAATTCCGCATTCGTATGCAAAGGGCGCATAAATTTAATCAGTTAGTTGGATGTTGTTTTTCTTTGGGTTTCGTTTGCCTCTGCTTTTTGCCAACCTTAAGGGGGCGTTTTGCGGTGGGCGTGGCCAGGCTGTAGGTGTGGTCAGAAGCCTGCGTGCTGGCCAAGACAGAAAACAGACACATGGACACGACACCGGCATCGGCATCCGTGCACTGCAAACAAATTCGTAGAAAATCAAAAACAAAATTTTCTCTATATTTTATTTTTTCTATATTTTCTCTAAATCTTCAAATAATTTAATATACCTACTTTTAAAAAATAAATTAATTATTTTCCTGGTTTTTATATTAATTCTTTAATTTATCCGTAATTTTCGTTGGTGAGACTAAACCCTCTTAGGCTAGGACAGTTTATCTCAGTGTAGGTTCAGAGCCCGCATGTTGTGTACATGCCAACGCAGACAGGCAAAAGGACACGCAGACAGACAAATAGACAGATAGACAGACAGGCGGAAATGGAGGGGAAACATGGGGGAAAGGAAATGGAGGATAGAGGATGGATAGAGAAATTCCCTTTGGCCTTCTTAGATTTTCGGGAATGCTCAATACCCTTCAACAATTGGAAAATCAGGTTTTTGTTGGCTCTTCGATTTTTTAGAAATTTACTTCCTTAAATAATCTTGAAGAACTACATATAAAATTACGACAAATATATTATATTAGTATAAGTAACAAAGTGTTATTTAACTTATAATTTATACTATGAAATAGTTTAAAATTTCTAAAACTCCACTTGCATTGCCTGGCAATTTTTCCAAAATACCCCAAGCTGTATGCAATACTAGTCCCTTTTTTATCAGGATTTCTTTCGATCTTTTTGCCCGTTGTGTTGTGTTGTTTTGCTGGCATTGCCTTTGCCATTTCCTGAATGTGCTAAACCAATAAAGCAACTTTTGACATGTCTGCCGGCTGTTTGAATTGCGTCCTAATTGTGCCACTCAGTGTGTGTTTGTGTCTCTATAGCCTTTCTTCTTTTGGCCCACAGACGAAACGAGACGAGACGAGACACCCACTGAGATTTTTGCCTCTGTTTTTGGCCCAGCAAAATTGTCGTCGAAATTTATGCCGAAAATTGGGTAAACTGGGGAAAGGAAAGGTGACTCCAATTATCCTGGCTTTTCAATCGATGTCAATCAATCAATCAATTAGCCGCACGCCTCGTCTATGCATCAATCAAATGCAGACCCAAAAAGCCGGCTCCAATTCAATAAGGATCAATTTTCCAGGCTATCCACACTGGCTTGGCTTCAATTTAATGTGGCCCCGTCCCGAATTCCGTATTCCGGGAATAACTGGTTGAACATCTCTCAGCTGAGCTAATTATTTTCCCGAACTCCTTCCCCCTTCATCGGGGCCCCCAGTCAGTCAACATCATCAATCTTTCGGTTTCCCCAGCAATTTGACAGCGATTGCGACATTTACAACTGTTCATCATCAGTGGATTTAGCCCCGGCTAATCTCCGCCAGAAATTCAGGGGAATGCGAGTAGAAGCGATTTCAGGGATAAACAGTCTTAAAGAGATCTACGGAAAATGTATTGGGATGAGTCAGGTGTATAGCTAATATCCAAAGATTATTATCAAAGGGAATTAAAATACTTTATTTAATTATGACGTGAAAAAGGATTGTACCATTTTAATAAAAATATTTTATTTTTCATTTGTAATATATTTTCAAAATATCATTAGCATGTGTTTTACATTCGTTTTCCTAAATTGTCCATGAATTCAATTCAAATCACTTTTAAATTTCAAAATAAATGTCTAAAAATATGCAACAAAATAGTTTTAAAGCAAAATAGATATGAAGAGATACTTTTAGGCACACATTTTAAAATTTCAAAGTGATTTCA